AACTGTGTAACCAGACATTTGTATGCGCATAAAAATATTAATGACTTGAAAAATATAATAAAAATTAAAAAGTTAAATTAAAAAATTAAAACCTTACTTCTCCAAGCGCCCACGCTTGACTTGAATCGTGCTAGCGAAGCATTCAATGGTACTGTGAATATTCTTCGAAATTATAGAGAAAATGCTGACACACATTTTTCTGATATATTTTCAAAAGTTACCGATATCGCCAAGGAATTGGATTTTGACATTGTCCTTCCTCGCAGAGGGAATAGACAAATTTTCGGGCTAATTATCGTGCGTCTAACGCTGAAGATTATTATCGAAAGGCAATATTTATATCGCTATTGGATAATATTTTGCTCGATTTCCGAGAAAGATTGCCGAAAGAGACATTCAAAATTTTTGATTTGAACTTGTTACTTCCATCTAAAATTGGGGAATATAATACGCCTGACGAAAAAATAATGCTATCGAACGCGTTAAATCGCTTGGAAAACGATACGAACTTTTCTTAGAAACAGACCGTATCAATTTGGAAGGACAGTATAAAGTGTGGTTGGAACGGTGGAGAAATAAGGAAAGCGAAAAGCCATTCCCAAAATCAGCAGCAGAATTTCTTGGTAAATGCGGCGAATATGCTTTTCCAATGATTAACAAACTTCTCCCCATTCTGGTCACACTTCCAGCTAGTAACGCTACTTCCGAAAGAAGTTTTTCAACCCTTCGCCGGTTAAAAACATGTTTGCGTAGTACCATGAATGAAGAAAGGCTGAGAGGTCTAGCACTTTTACACGTACACTTGATATTGAAATTGACACTGAAAGGATAATAGAATGATTTGCAAAAGGAAAGCGCAAAATTGAATTTGCAATTTAAATTATTACCATAAAAATTCTGAATAAGTTGTTAAGTTANATTGAAATTGACACTGAAAGGATAATAGAATGATTTGCAAAAGGAAAGCGCAAAATTGAATTTGCAATTTAAATTATTACCATACAAATTCTGAATAAGTTGTTAAGTTACTTCATTTTACCAACATTGTAAGCAAGAAATAAGTATTTATATGTATATATTGCATTAATAAACCCAAGGTATAACTTTATATCTTGTGGTTTTTTTCAATAGTACATGCAATTGTTTTATTAGACCTTGCACCAAATTCGCAAAATGAAAAGTTATAATGTAACACAAAACACTTTACTTCACACTTCATAACAAATACTCGAACCTATATTTGCATGAAAAATAAATTAGGGTTAGATGCTTGCAATTTAACGTTATTTGAAAAGTTGATCCCAATCGAATTCGGCTAGACAGAGGCAGGATTCCCATAAAAAAACAGGGCGAAATTACTTCACAATATCAATTCTAATTTGAACATAGTTATGTACATATGTGTGCATGTATTCAAGTCTAACTCAATTGATTGAATGTTGATCTGTTGAACTAACATAGTTGAGTTTTGTTTTGTGCAGAATTTGCATGAAGCGAAACAGACATTTCTTTGCTGTTATTTATTCTGTATGCTAAACTACAGCGCAGAGTTGCCGTTGAGTATTTTCAGAAAGTCGCAAAAAGGGTGTCATTGACGAAAAAAGGGTCACCAAATTCTTTTTGCTTTCCTTTACTAGGAAAAGGATAAATCCGAGAACCAAAGTTCTGCTGTTGAATTTAAAAAGAAAATAGCGAAACAAGCTTTGCACAAAACAGATTTGCAAACATACACGGAAATCGAGTTGCATTTCCTTTAAAAGTTTTAAGTGATTAATTTTTTCGTACTTACAGTAGGAAATATTTTTAGTAGCATGGCTCTGTTAACATTTCCTAAAAAAATCTCTGAGAAGGGGCAAAAGTCGCACAAAATTTTGGAAAGGGTAAAAGAATCAAAATTTTCAAAAAGTCGTGTCAAAGGTTATTGGCGCTTAAAAAGGGTCATTAACAGGTTTATTCTGCACGTTACCGCTGATTTTGTGACCGGAAAATTTTATTACCAAAAAATGTTAGCACTTCTTGTCACCGCGATTCCAGGTACGTTGGTAATGCAGTGAAAATAGCAATTCAGCTATGAAGATTTGTGGAAATTCTTGTATTGCATATTTCATGGGGAAATATTTTGTTACCAGCTTATGAGATGGTAACCAAATTTACCGGTTACAAGAGAGCACAGAATCCGAAAAATGTTTAAAATTTTACAGGCACTTTAATTACCGGTTACAAAATTTATGTTACCAGCGCAGAATTGACCTGTAACTCGGACTTAATCCGGATCAACTGCAGTTAATTCCCGAGTTCATCCGGATCAACGCTGCCGTCTGTTTACGCTTTTAAATAAGGTTTCTGCTGCGCAGCGGCAACTGCTTTTTAACGAACTTTCATCTTTATGAAGTAAAGGAAAAGCTGAAGATGAATGTATTTATGCCACACCAAGAAGCTTACAGTGAGCATGTGCCGATATCGCAGCACGCAGCATTTTGAAGTAAAAACAAAATAGTTGTCAAACGAAATACACGATGCAAAGTGTTTCTTTGTTTTGAACGCAGCGCTTCTTGTACATAAATTTCACTTTACAAGCAGCGCTCAGCCTTTAACGCACTTGCTAATTTATCAAGTTCGCGAAAACAATATGCCGAATTCTTATGAAGCCCAACAAATAGATATATGTACATCATTGATTTGTTGTTGTTTGTGCATGCCACTAAAAAAAAAAAAAACAGTTGCCAAACGAAATACACGATACAGAACTGCTTGTACTTAGGGCCTGTGCCAATCGGTGACTTTTTTCTCCGTGGTGAGACGGGGTGGAAAAATTTGCTATGGTGTACAAATAAATTGAATTTTGCTGTGCCAAATGCAAAGTAAAATTTTGACAGTTGAAAAACCAAACAAACGCTCGTGCGAAAGCTATATTTTTGTGTGTTGCTGAAATTCTTAAAATTTTTATTTATTTTATAATTTGCAAGTAACGTAAGCTTTTTTTATGCTGTTTCAGCTTTCATTTTCATGTTCACTCCTTATTACCGCCAAGCAATATTATGTGTATACATGGTTATAAGCTGTCAAAATTTTACCTAGCCCCATGAGCTAGGTATAATTTTGACGTTCGTATTCACCACGAGAAGTGTCAAATTTTTACTTTGATCCGTCAAAATTTTCTATTTTCTATCAATTGACACAGGGCCTTTTTATTAAAATTTCATCTTAAAAATACCACTGTGTCCTACTGTGGTAGAAATATGTCATTTTCAAATTTGAATCATAGAAATCGACCCGGTACATCAGCCGTTTTGCTCTCACGTTTTTTTTTTTGGATTTAATTTTATATAAAGTATATAAAAGCTCTGATATTTATTGCTTGCCAAGAGCAATATGCGGTCTCCATTGGCAAAATTTTGCCTGATAACATTAGCCGTCATCGATTCGACACTTCGCTGCTTACTAAGTTTGAGTTCCGGTCGCTTAAAGAAGAATTTTGCATGTGAAAGCAACAACAAAGTTAGCTAGCACGGATAGACGATAGCGAGTTTGGTTGTACCTACCTCATTGAGTTCGTTCGTTTCGTCACTCGCTAAATGTTGGCGAATCGATGATAAAAACGATAAAAACTTTTGCCTGTGGAGACAGCAAGGTATGGGTGTAGCGCACAGCCTGTCGGCGTAGACCTCTAGTACGTACGTATGTAAAAGTATTCTGTGAATTCAAATTACCTAAGCTTTAGTTTTATATGTAATATGGTAATAGAAATAATTGATCCTTGTTTAAAATAATATAAATGTATCCGTGAATTGAACTAAATGAACTAAAGACCTAGTTCGCTAAGGTGAGCGAACTACAACTGAACGGTTCACTCAAAATGATTAAAATGCCCAACCCTAATGTGCAATATAAGCACCACGAAAAATGCATTATAATAATGGTGTATAACTAAGAAACTCGACTAAATTATTTGAATTACCGGAGCTATTATCCAAATTAGCTGAAGCAAAAATGCTAATGTAATTTGAAAATTATTTGCATAGTTTTAAAAGCTTTAAGTTGGATTTTGGGAATTTGTGCAGGTTTAGTTGTTAAAGAAAAAATAAAACAAGTAAGAAAGTCTAAGTTCGGGCGGAGCCGAACATTAAATACCCGGTGCAAGTATTAAATATATGTTTTCCACCTTTCCGAAAGCTACCGCTACATGATAAGCCGGGGTGTATACATTTTAAGTAAATTAGCGTCCTTAAATTTCGAAATATTGAA